ACCGGAAACAAAAGAAAACTGCGAGAGTTCCTGGGCGCAGCTGGGTTTTGCTGTATATGGATCCCCGGGTTTTCAAGAATAGCCAAGCCCCTCTACGAAGCAACTGCTGGATCAGAAAAAGAGACCCTCAAATGGGAAACTAAACAAGAAAATGCCTTTAGGCAATTAAAGGAACTACTAACCCAAGCCCCAGCACTAGGCTTACCAGATGTAACATGAGAGTTTAATCTGTTTGTACATAAAAGAGACCAAACTGCTCTTGGAGTCCTAACTCAGAATGTGGGGCCATGGCAGCGCCCTGTGTCCTATTTATCTGAAAGACTGGACCCTGTAGCATCAGGATGGCCACTCTGTTTACGGGCCCTCGCTGCCACAGCCCTCCTGGTCAATGAGGCAGACAAACTCATACTGGGACAGACTTTAAATGTAAAGGTGCCCCATTCTGTCGTGGCCCTGATGAACGGCCCAGGTTACAAATGGATAACTAACACAAGGATGACCCACTACCAGAGGCTTCTATATAAAAATCCACGAGTCCATCTAGAGACTGTGTGAACCTTAAACCCAGCCAAATATTTGCCTGAGGGGGAAGGGCAGCCTGACCACGACTGCGAAAAAAATCATCGAAGAGGTGTATGCAAGCAGACCTGATCTAACCGACAAGCCCCTGCAAAACCCAGACCTGGAACTTTTCACAGACAGCAGCAGTTACATTCAAGATGGACAACGGCGAGCAGGTTACGCTGTAACAACAACCCGAGAGGTAACAAAGGCAGAGTCCCTTCCCCCAGGATGGTCTGCTCAGCGAGCAGAGATCTGGGCACTGGTCCAGGCACTAAGGGAAGAAAAAGGAAAGCAAGTCAACATATACACTGATTCCAAATATGCATTTGCAACCTTGCATGGACATGTAGCCATCTATAAAGAGAGGGGACTTTTGACTGCTGGGGAAAAAGAAATCAAAAACAAAGAAAAATTTTACAGTTACTGGAGACAGTGTGGGATCCAAAGAAAGTGGCCATTATTCACTGTAAGGGACACCAAAGAGAAAATGATCCTGTGAGCCAGGAAAACAGGCTAGCTAATCAAAAGGCAAGAAAAGCAGCCGCCTGAAAACACTCAATAATTAAAGTTATGGCAGCGCCAGAGCTACCCACTGCCCCAGAATATAGTCACGACGAAAACAAGTGGGCACAGGCTGAACGAGGAGAGAAAGGAAAGGACGGATGGTGGATGGAAGTGTTTTCATCCCAGAACGACTAGCTTATCATCTAGTCCAACAACAACAGGAAGCCACACATATGGGAAAAACGGCTTTGGAGGCCCTCTTAAAGCGATATTTCCTAATTTCTCGTCTCCCTACTCTGTGTGCATCAGTTTCCCAACGCTGCTTGCTCTGTGCACAAAACAATCCAAAACAAGGGCTAACTGGGCCAATGGGAATACAACGATGCGGATTGGCTCCCTTTAAAGATTTAAAAGT